ATTTTAAGTGCACTTTTAAAAAGCCCCCTTGGTAAGAGCAATTTACAAAACCTCAGAATACATTAATTACGCCATCTGATGGTCGCCACTGTTGGCCAATCGGCGAACATTTGCAAGGATGGGACCACGGGCCCGCCTGCTCTCTTGCAGTTCCAGTTCCAGCGAGCACCAGCCCTTTGTTCGCTTTGGAGCCCAACCGCGGGCTGGACAAAAAAAACCGATAAAAGCAGTTCAAAGGAAGATTGCGATGAATGTTTCGCTTCCTTTTGAAGCTGCTGCGCTCTTGAAGTGACACTCGTACACCTCGCCCTGTGCACTCATGTGATGGTAATGGTTCAGTGTAATGATATCGCATGATATGCACAAAAAAATCAACAAAAAATGACAGTGTGACAAAGCATTGTGAGGCGTGTGCAAAAACTTTTATTGGATAACGAATACTGTCCACGCAACTTCTTCCTGGGGCTCAGTCATGAGCTATCAACGGCATGGACACACGAAACCGTTCATATACTGTCGATATATATATATATATATATATATATATATATATATGCATATATATATATATACACATACAACTGGAGGCTTTGGGCCTCGAAACTGCCAGACACCATGTTGGAGACCTCACTGTACAGCTCAAAGGCGACAGCGTCCTTCTCCCGATGTGCAGAAGGCTCAAAGGCCACGGTCAACAAAGAGCGCTGCGTCGACATGCTGGAGCGCTTCTGGAGGCAGCTGAGGTAACAAGACTCTGACAGCGAACGGGACACATGGTTCCAGCATGCTGGAGCGGCTCACTCCGCTTCAACAGTGACCCTGACCTGGCTGGAGCACCACTGAGGGAGCGTACACCATTAGTTGAAAGACGGACGGCCCGTGGCCGTCTCAATCACCGCATCCTACTCCCTGGATGATTATCTATGGGGTTTCCTAAAATGTCAAATCTGCAAGAGCCCTGAGGGCCTCGGTGACCTGCCTTAATGGTGGTCACCTTAAGCACGTGCCGTACAGTTGCCCGGGTGGCGGCCGGGTGTGAATGGTGAGTGACACAAATTGCATACATGACATATTTTAGCATTTTTGGTAACGTGACCAGCACTTTTCTCCACGGATATCCACTTCTATAGTTAAAGATCATCACATCTTTCCTTCCATCCTAAACATGCGCCTTTACATGCTCTATGCATGCACGCATCCAGTTGCACGCATACTTATGACGAGAGGGGATACTAGTTCATTAACCAGGGGCGAAATGAAAAATGATCAATCACAAAATTCCCCAGTTACAGCATTTCCGAACACTCCCATGATATGATGCAACACACCTTCACAAAAAGAGCCCAGTAAGAGTCCGTCGTTTCCATCCTGCAGAAAAAGCAAACGTTATGCAGGGAAAGTGTTCCGCCTGGTCATTTCATTTAGCTCCGCAAATACTGTCCGCCTCCAGTGTTCTAGCCCATAGACAGCATCGTCAAGCTGCACCAGGTCTGCCGGGTGACATACCCCAATTCCGTCTCCAGTCGTCCCAGGCCTCGTGTCTGGTCGTCTCAGGTCCGTGCCTGGTCGTCCATGTGGGGATGCGAAATCCCTGCATCACTTCCCTTCATACAGGGAAAGTGATGCAGGGATTTGGCAGCCCGTCGTTTTGCTTATTTTGTGTGGTAGCACAGAAATACAGTTGCCGTCAAGACTCCGTGTCATGCGCGGGTGGGGATTGAAACACAAAGCATCCATCGCATTGGTCGATAGTGGGTCGAACCCGAAACACTCGCCGGCGCGGATGTAACAGTCCCCAGGTCCGTGTCTGGCCGTCTCAGGTCTGTGTATAGTCGTCCCAGGTCCGTGTCCGGTCGTCCCAGGTCCATGTCTGGTCGTCTCAGTTCCGTGTCTGGTCCTTCCAGGTCCGTCTGGGCGTCTCAGGTCCGTGTATGGTCGTCTCAGGTCCGTGTCTGGCCAGCCCAGTCCAGCCCAGCTCAGCATAGCATCGTTCTCGGTGTCCAGCACTCAACAGCCTACTCACACACTCCTGTTCCCGCATTACCGTTTAGAAAAGAGAAAACATGACGCGAAGCACAGCCCGGCCGACCACAAAGCTCACAGCGTGGTTTCTCAATTATGCCAGCAACGGCGAGGGTGTGAATTGGAGTGACTCGGAGACTCCATTCCCATGACACAGTGCCGAGAATAACCCTTCCAACGAGAATGCCGGAATCAACGGTCCGAAACTTTCCACTTACAACGTCAGAACAAAACACAGGAGAATGTGTGGGGCGTTCATATGAAACAGGCACGAACCGGGGACGTGATCAGCAGTCAGTCGTGCGTATCCCCCTCCCCCCGACTGCGGCGCCCACCACACGCCGGCCACCTGCGCCAGCGGCGATGGTCGGCACGGAGCACATCTGGTGGGTATCACCGGCAGCGATGAGTTCCGGTACGGGCATATGAAGGGCCGTCACTTCCGTGCCGTCTGGCCAGCAGCATCCCTCTTCTGATCACAAGCTGGCAGCCGACAGGGCGGGGGACCGGCAGGGAGCTGGCAGGGAGCCGACAGGAAGGTGACGGAGCCGATAGGAAGGTGACGGGGAGCCGATAGGGAGCTGGCGGGAGCTGGCGGGAGCTGGCGGGGAGCTGGCGTGGAGCTGGTGGAGAGCCGTTGCCACGCCATCGTAACCGCTCCCGGGCAAAAACTCGGATGGAAAAAGCCGGATGCTCTAAAGACCGGCCTCCTGCAGAAGCGTTTGCCGCGTGAGCTCGGGCGGGTACCAATCAGAGGGCCCAGGAACGCGAGGTAAGCCCAGTGACCCATTTAGATTGACCCGTTTAATACACAGACGCATTCCAGTGCAGTCAGCAACAATCCTTCAACGCCAGACGCCCAATCATCGAATGCAGTGTTTCACACTTGTACGACGCTTTGAACTGGAACAGACACTTTGAAGACCACTCAGTGCAGCTCGCAGCAATGTCATTTTCGGACTTAAAAACCCAAGCTGTTTCTGAGTTTGACAACTGCGAACTTATGTACACTATTTCGTGCAACTATTTCAGATTCGCCTAGGGATGCGTGACGCAACAGAAACATCACACAAATATCGCCACCTCACTGGTCTTGCGGTGCTCAAGGTTAGAAAAGTACGACCATTGAATTATTCGTGCCTAGCGTACGTCAGCACGATTCGTGGCATTAACGGACATCAGTTGGTCTTCGATCAGTTCAATGCAATGAGCACAAGCTTCGACCACGAACCACGTTTTGTACTGAGTATCACAGGAATTTGGGCAGTGGTACTAGTTAAGACGGAAATACGGTTGGGAATCTAATAGCATACGTGAAGTGCCATAACCAAGTATGTACACGCAATTCAATAATTATAAAACCACTGGCAGATATCACAAATACCGCGAGAAAGGGTCAAAATACGAACGATTCACGATATTCGGGTTCTACAAACATGCACCAGAAAACAGCAGTGAGTCAGCCCTTCTACTACAGTGGCAATTCTGACAAGCCAGACTGGCAGGGATCCTGACGAACAAGATGACGTATAGATGAACAATAATATAGAAAAGGGGAAATTTCGTTGTCAACAGCAGTTTTTTCCATTGGTTTCAAAAGAAAGCAAGCAGTTTCAGATGGGCTTATTTGATCCTATATAAAGCATGCCTCACTATCCTCAAATGGGAAACACTTTGTCTCTGACTGAACCGTGATAGCCCTTTCGAAGATCATTCGGTGCAATTCACAGTTATGCCCTTTTTAAGATCCAATGCCCTCTTGTTTTTTAGGTTCACGCCCGCAAATGTGTGCGGACCATTTCGTGCACACTATTTCAAGGTCACCCAGCTATGCATAGCGTCATGGAAATGTCATGCGAATACTGCCAACCAATGGGCCATTCAGTGCTGAAGGTTAAGTAAAACATGGCTCGTTCAATTATTTCAGGCTGGCGCACGTCAGGCCGATTTCTGGCGGATTTCATCAGAGTTCGATTGGTCCGCAACAAATGTGAAACGCTCAGTGCAAAGTTTCGAATCCGAACCACGGCCTGTGCCACATGGTACAGGAACTCGGGCATTGGTGCTAATTATGACAGAAATGAGGCCGGAATCAAATTGCTTAAGAATGGCGCAGTCACCGACTGTTTGAATGCAAGTAGGCAATATAAAATCAGGGAAAAACATACAAGGCAACGGAGAAAGGCCAAAGCACCCGTATATAACGATATATGGGTTCTGCCACACGCATTGATAAGCACGCCTCCTCTCGACAAGTTGAAGTACCACAGATCAGTCAGCCCGTCCGTTACGGTGGTGATCTCGCACGGCCAGTCTGGTAGCAACTCTGAAGTTAATACTTGGGCTTAGGGGGCGCGTGAAGAGCAGAGGTTATTCTGCGCCCGGACTATGGCTGGGTATAATTATATTGTATCATGCATGAGCAAGTCGCTGTTTTAGGCTTTTCATATCATGCAAACGCACAATGACGCAATCAAGAAACTACGTATTCAGGGGCACATTTACCAACTAGTGAAATTGTGTTGCCTGGAGCGGTCTTGTGCAATTAAAAACACACCGACAGTTACAAGTCGGCTTTTCTCACCATATCTGATGCTTGGCTCCATATCTTTCAATGCGGAACACTCCCTTTAAGAGCATCATATCTTGAAACAATAACAAAATCACAACAACCACAACCACAACCGCAACCGCAACCGCAACCACATCCGCAACCACAACAACCACAACTGCAACCGCACCTGCACTCGCATCCTGCATCCCCATCCGCATCCGCATCCGCATCCGCATCCGCATCCGCATCCGCAACCGCAATCGTACCTGCATCTGCATTCCCATCCGCATCCGCATCCGCAACCGCAACCGCATCCACATCCGCATCCGCATCCGCATCCGCATCCGCATCCGCACCCGCACCCGCGCCCGCACCCGCATCTGCATCCGCACCTGCATCCGCATCCGCGACCGCTACCGCAACCGCATCCGCATCTGCATTCGCATCCGCAACCGCAACCACAACGGCATCCGCACCCGCATCCGCATCTGCATCCGCATCTGCATTCGCGTCCGCATCCGCAACTACAACCGCAACGGCATCAGCACCCGCATCCGCATCTGCATCCGCACACGCATCTGCCTCCGCATCCGCATCCGCATCCGCATCCGCATCCGCAACCACATCCGCATCTGCATTCGCATCCGCAACCGCAACCGCAACCACATCCACATCTGCATTCGCATCTGCATCCTCAGCCGCAACCGCATCCGCAACCGCACTCATCCACATCTGCATCCGCACCCGCACCCGCATTCGTATCTGCATTCGCATCCGCAACCGCAACCGCAACCGCAACCGCAACAGCATCCGCATCCGCGTCCGTACCCGCATCCGGATCTGCATCCGCACCTGCATTTGAATCCGTATCCGCAATCGCAACCGCAATCGCATCCGCATCTGTCTCAGCTTCCGTCCCAGTCCCAGCCATAAAGTCTCCGTCTCCGTTTTCCTCTCTGTCCCACTCACCGCCTTTGTCTCTCACTTTCGTTCAGCCTCACACAATGTTTGGCGGCATCTTGAAGGGAGAATGCTTCTTACCCGCATTTGCTCTAGTACCCACTTAATTTCGGCAGTTATGTACTTTTTTGCCTTGTGAGGGCTCTCGCCAGTGGCCAAAATGACCGAAGAACATAACTGTAAGTCGGGTATGAGTTTGAATTTAAGCGGTTGTTTTGCGGGTAGATGAGCTGGGCTTTGCGTTTATCGCGCCGCTTTGCACGGCGACGCGATTAAGTGTGGCCGGGCGTCGTACGGGCGCGTGGCCCTCGGCGTCTCCCGCGCCGAAGGCGCGTCCGATGGCCGAGCCAGCGCTGGACCGGCCGGTATGGCACCACAGCGCACAGCAGCTGGCCCGACACCAAACTGCAGCCAGCCCGACACCGAACTGCAGCTGGCCCGATACGGGACGGCAGCCGACCCCAAACCTGACAGCAGCTGGCCTGACACGGGACGGCAGCCGGCCCCACACTGGACAGCAGCCGGCCCGACAGCGGAGGGCAGCCGGACCGACACCGGAGAGCAGCCGGCTAGCCAACGGACAGAAACCGGCCCGCGCCGGACAGCAGCTGGCCCAGCACCGGACAGCAGCCGGCCCGACAGCGGACAGCAGCCGGCCCAACACCGAACAGTGGTCGGCCGGGAGGCGTCCATATTGTACAAGGTGGCTGGCTCGCATGTCGATGGTGCTCCGCCGAGCGGCATCTACACCAGTGACTCAGACCCGTCAGCGGCATCATCGGCGGCCGACTGAATCAGCGGCCGGGCTGGGCCAGAATTGACCGCTGGCGACCCGGCGGCGTCGGCGGGCAACGCGTCTCACCGACCGGCGGCAGTCCAGCCCGACGGGCGGCAGCCGCACGCCGACAGCACGTGACCGGGCGGCTCCGCGGGTCTCATCCCCGCCGACTGACCTCCGTCGAGACGTCACAGCCAGCAGGCGCCTCGTCTGTGGGTGGATCGGCTCGGCTGACTCAGCTCCGATCGATGACGGCCCGGCCGGATGACGCGGACGCAGCGGCCGGTGACGGGCCGGCGCTGAGCGCGCTCTCTCCGGGCTGCCCTGCTCCGCCCGAACACGGGAGGCGCCGCCAGCTGACCGGCGGACCCCGTGACCGGTGTCGTGCGCGACGGCCGTCTGCCACCGCGTGCACGGCGGCCAGGCCGCCGCATCTGCCCCACCACGCAAGTGTTGACTCGGATGCCGTTGGCATGTCCGCTGTGTCCACGATGTCGACACACTCTCACAGCAGCAGACCCGCAGCAACACACACTCGTCCGCCCTGACACGCCAGCCCGGCCCGGCATTGTGCCGACCGCCGCAGATCTGGCTATCCCCTCCTCCCCCACAACTCCTATACCAGGGATACATCCGAACGCCACAGTACGGCATCAGTTCACTATGGAAGCAACTTTTGTCAACAAGATATTGCCGGAGGGCTGTTGCTATGTCTCATCTTAAACTATCATTGCAGCTTGATGGCAATGAGCTTTGGTGGCCGTTCCCGCGCCCTTGCTCGCAATGGTCTGTCTCTATCATCAGTAATTTAGAGGCACCTTAGCCTACACCGGTTTCACCGATACATACACATACACCAGCTTCATCGATACCTACACTTACACCGGTTTCACCGTTCCCTAGACCTACACCGGTTTCACCAATACCTATACATACGCCAGTTTCACCAATACCTATACATACACTAGTTTCACCGATACCTACACCTACACCGGTTTCACCGGTACCTTCACCTACACCGGTTTCCCTAGTCGGACGATGGTCTCCCCGACATCTTGGATCTCCGGGTCCTCTTGCCCATCATGAGAGGTCTAGCTGGGGTACTCCACGACAAATCGACAGTGCCCTACACCTTCATCCCTCGGATTTCAGTTAAATTGGGTCATAAAAGTCGTCATCAGCGCTGAAGGCGCTGGTGGCAATCTCTCAGTTGCACCGTTTCCAAAGAATGGCCTTCAGCAATTTCGAGTTGCGTGGTTGCGGAGCTCCCCTCGCTGGCAATTTTTTGACTTGCTGGAGGAATAATTGGACAAACCTTTATGTTGAAATGATCAGAAAACTGTCCCGAATATCTCTATGCCACTCTTAAAATCGTCACACAATTAATAATAGGCTGCGCATTATGACCTTTTGATAGGCATAGGCACGAAGAACAAAGTTCCTATGCGATATTGATATTTTCTCATCAGCATGTTCTCAACGGCGTAGTGTATGCCCCAACATTTCTAAAATAAAAAAGGTGGTAATCCGCTAAGAAAGGCATGGTCCACGCACAGATGAATCATGCGTGGTGCACGAAGACTGGGCACGCGGCGCACCGCCGCAGCCGGCTGCCCCCCCCCCCCCCCCGCCCCCCTCCCCCTTCATGTGTACTGTCGAGGCTAGGGTAATTAGAGCAGGGGGAAGGTGAGTGAGTACCGTGAAGGTGGTCGGGTCTCTTGTTCATATCGGGCGACTCAGAAGCAGTGTCTGTAGTGCGGGTGGAGCGCGTAGTTGTATTGATAGTATCTTGCAACAATGAAACGCCCAAACAACCCTGCTGCACCGATCAATTTGGAAGGCACAAAACGGGTGCACGGCGAGGTTTAAAGGGAGCATAACCCCTTTTGGACTCATTTACTCAGATCAGACACGCCCGATTTGATCGGAAATGTCAGTTTTCCCGAAATCATTCTGACTGGCTAGGGATAAGATTGGAAGAAGCCACTCCTGCGGGGCAAATCTCGTTGGACTCCCTGCTCACTAGTATGAAAGTAATATCTTTCATGCCCCTTACTTTTTCAACGGGCGTGTTTTGTAATGTTTGCAACACACTTACGTGTTAAATGATTGCGTCATAAATGCTACGAAAGTGAAATACTGTTTGAAGAAAAACCTATGCTAACATGAGGCTATTATCCGGTGCTTCCTCATGGGCAGCAGCGGCACTCACGCTGTTTGCGTGTGCTGCCCACCAGTGTCTGTCACCGGAACGCGAAGCTGATGATTGGATCTATTGGCCTGCGAGATGTCATTTAATAGGGCCTTCTCCTTCTGAGTCACATGTGTGATGCTCACAAAGAGACCCGCATGATACGGAAGTGTGAGAATTGTCCGCGCTGAGGATCGGGTGCGATCATTTTTGATGAACGCTACCAATGCGCAAACAGAGAACATTTCGGATTCGGTCAATAAAATTGGATTCAGCCAGTGGGTAACACTGCATGCTGTACTTTAGCTGGCCTTGTTTTGCCAAAAGATGACTTTTTGACCAAACTGTCAAAAGCCACAGTTGTAGTTACCAGACATCACTCAACGGCCCAACGCCACGGTAAATTTCTCGATGCTCTTTAAAACGACTGCCCGAGGACGACGCTTTGATAATTCTACCTTTCAGAAATGCACGCTTTCGTCGTTCAAGACGAAATCCAGCCGTTTCATTGGAATGCACCACCATGCGCACAGCACCCTTTTGTGGCATATTGCCACCAACCTGGACAGATTACACATAAAAGTTATTGCGCACTGTCAAACGCGATGAAACATAACACTTTCACGGGAGATACACTCTTACAGAGCCATTCACCGGAAGTGAAAAGCGCCGCTTCAAATACGGAAAAGTGTATTACTTATCAGATACATCAGCTGCGCAGTACACGAACAGGTTCAATTACTGGAACATTTGCTTTCATGAGGAGGACTTTTTCGTGAAGTGCGATTGACATTACGTCACCATACCTCAAGGGAAGAACTCTTGCGATGGAGTGGAGAGACCTTGGAAAGTGTTGCTGCCAGTGCCAGCCTGTGGTGCCTCCATTCGGATCATATTCGCTCTGCTCAGAAGTTACACCAGTTCTAGCAGGGGACGTTAATGTGCAAACGGTATGTTTCTCCATACCAAAAGGAGAAATGCTTTGCTCAGAGGATGAGCTTAGCATCAGCTTCGCTACGGCCGAGACTGTCAAAAAGACGCTGAAGGTTCACAGAGTGACCCCATTGAGTGTTCAGACTGTCATTGTCCTTGCGTTAGATTCAGGCGATGGGAGGGAACGACCGGTCGCTTGATTTAAAGGGTTTTGATGAGTGAGTTAGACTGAGTCACTAGCGCAATAAGTCGACTTCCACGCGCATACAAGCCATCGTGTTGTTAAGCTTAGTGTTTTCTCACAATGCGGCTATTTTCCGCCGCCTGTGCGGAGAGCCACATGAGAGATACTGCGCCGGTAGCCGACGATGGCGCGAATAACGCGTAGTCCCTTATCGTGACATTGTTTCCTAACTTTTTCAAGCCGATAACCACCTTCTTTAAATTCGGAGAGTGGTTCAATTTGTGGTCATTCATGTAAAAATGAGAAAGGTTCAAAATCGCATCAATGATTTTGAGTGAACTGCAAATATTCATGTCACAATTAGTATCTTTTTTGCAAGATGCTTCCAGCCCCGATATACACGTAGTCTGTGAGGTTTTTGCATCATTTTGACATACAAGTGTATACTTTTTTCTTCCATCGTAGCGGAAAAACCGCCGTCGAATGTAGCACTCCAACCAAACAACACGAAAATGCCGGAGGCTGCACCTCCCAAACCGCTTAATGGAGACCCGAAAATGTCACCGGCGTCCTCAGCGCCGCTGACCACCCCCCTGACCCTGTTTCATGAAAACTTGAGAAACGAGGGTGTAAACTGACCGTTCGACCTGTCGATTTGTCGTGGAATGTCTCGACTAAATTCACACTTTCCAAACACACCAACGTTTTACAATCCGTTTTGACCCGCTTGGAAAGCCCAAACTAATACGACCTTTCGCAAATCCCATTCCACCGTAATGCGATGCATGCTTAAATCTGCACCTGGCCGGTTCATTTCAACACAAATAAAAAATGACAACCTTTCACAGCGGCAGACAGTTTGAAAACTACGCAATCGCTCTGAAACCTATTCTTAGTTTCCGTCATAACTTTTTCCACAATATGACACGTGCACCCATTGAAGCTTACAAGCCATAAAATAGGACCCCAGTCTGAAATGCGACAAACATGCCCAGAGAAAGACTAAATCAGCCAGTTCAACACGACTGAACGGGTTGAGCAGTAACCTGCCGAATCCATCATAATGGAATGCACGTCTCCA